GACCTGGCTCTAGGCACCATAGCTTATAAGCTTTGAATCATTCAGGGTATCCATGAACATGCATTTCAGAGCTCTAGGTTCGACCTTGTCTTACCTAGTGTGAGCATAGGCTACACAACCAAATATTCTTAGTTTGTCGAGATCTGGTGGATGTCCCGACCAAACTTCTTTAGGTGTCTTCATATTTAACGCAATCAAATGACATATGTTTATCAAATATATTACTATCGAAACAACCTCAACGCAAAACACCTTCTTTAACCCATCACTAGTCAACATGCATATAATTTTCTCCAAAATAGTTTGATTAAAACTTTCATCCAAACCATTTTGTTGTGGAGTACCTGCAATAGTTCTGTGCCTTGCAATACCAGAAGTAGCATAAAAACTGTCGAAAGCCTCATTGCAAAATTCAAGGCCATCATTGATTCTCAACCTCTTGAACTTTCTGCCAGTTTGATTTTTGACGAGAGTCTTCCAACTTTTGAAATTCTCAAAAGTTTCATCCTTAGTCTTCTAGATGAATATCCATAACTTTCTGGAATAATCATCTACTATGGATAGAAAATATATTGCTCTTGAATGTGATGGACACCTTGCAGGCCCCCAAAGACCAGCATGGATATAATAAAGGGATCCATGTGTTATTTATTTGCCTTTGTTGAACTTCACTCTACAAGATTTTCTAAGTACATAGGGTTCACAAAATTCCAACTTTTCGACTTTGTCTCCACCAAGCAAATTTTGTTTCCCTAATTCAACCAGACCCCTTTCATTGACATGGCCCAATCTCATGTGCCAAATTTCTGTCTTCGACAAAGGTTCCGTGGATACAATATTTATCGAACCCCTTACAACTTCAGCCTCAAGGGTATACAAGCCTTGTTTCTTCATGCCTCTCAAGACTTACTTCAACCCCTTCATGACTCTTAGGATGTTTTTCTCTCCCTGGAGAACATTTCCTTTCTTGTAAAGTTCACCGAGAAATCATATTTCTCTTCAAATCAGGTACATACCTGACTTCACTCAACAACTTTATTGACTCATCATGGAACTTGAATTTCACAAATTCAACACCTTCAATCTTGCAAGCTTTATTGTTTCCCAGCAATATAGATCCACTATCTCGATAACATAATTCCTTAAACAAGTCTTTGTTTGGAGTCATATGCCAAGTGCAACCTGAATCCACTCTTTTCTTGAGTCGCTGCATGAAACCACAAGAACATCAAATGAGTCGAAATCATCTTGAACAATGGCTGCATTGCCATTATCCTTACCTCCACGATATTTCAGGCGTTCAGGACACGCCTTTCTTGTGTGACCCCCCTTCTTACAATGATAACATCAAATACAGATGCTTCCCCATTATAAGACTTTTGGTGACTTTTACCTTTCTTCTTGTCGAACTTACCATCCTTTCGCAAGAATTTTCCCTTAATGGCCAAACCTTCACCAACCATCGAAGGTTTATGCTCCTTTCATTCATTCAAGTCCTCAGAGTACATGGCTTATTGAACTTCTTCAAAGGTCGGGGTCTCCCTTCCATACAAGAGAGTTTCTTTGAAGTGATCATGTATTTTGGGCAAATCGCACAATAGCAACAACGCTTGATCTTCATCATCGATCTTCACATCAATATTTTTAAGATCAAGAATCAGCTTGTTGAACATATTCAACTTCTCGACCAACATTTTATCTTCAATCATCTTGGACGAATATAAAGCTTGCTTCAGGTAGAGTCGATTTACCAGCAATTTGGTCATGTACAGACTTTCAAGTTTCACTCATAACCCTGACGCCTTCGTCTCCTTTGATACCTATCGAAGAACCTTATCACAAAGGCTCAAGAATACTACGCTGTGGGATTTCTCTATCATGGTTGTCTTTTCTTTTTCCGTTAACGCAACGTCCATATACGCTGCTCCCTTCAATGCTTCCAAACAACCCTGCTGAACCAGTGAGGCTTTCATATTCTCCACGCTCACCACTCCAATTTGTTGTGAAACACGATACCTTTGAAACCAAGTATAACAAGGTTCTTCAAGGCAAGAAACCCTCAAGGATAAAAAATAATGAAAAACACGAAGAAAAACAAGGAATTGGTTATTAACTGCTATTCTTTACTTTCTCTTAAATCAAGATTACAAGTACACAAGAATAACAAATAACCTTCTGACTCTAAATTATTATTTGTAGTATGCAATGATGAGAGACTAATATGCTATTTATAATAAGCCTAACATACTAAACTAATGGGTTTTTTCCACAAATACCCATTACAAGCTAACTTAGGGTACAAGCTAACTTAAACAATTGGACATAACAAACACGCTCAATTGGAAGTACTAACAACCCTAGCATTTCGACACCCACATACTAGAACACTCTTCGATTACAGTATGTAGGTCTTCGACATCAACATGTACACATAATTCGACGACATGCATAAATCTTGTCGAATCAGAAACTACTCTTCAACTCAATAAAGCTCGATATAATATTTCACATAGTATAAGTGCGTTATAGGACATACATTTTAACATGTACGTTTTTTCTCATTTTGTTTCTCATAAAAAAACGGTTGGATTCTATTCATTTTGTTGCTTATTACTTTGAGAATCAAACTTGGCAAAGTGAATTACATAATAAAATCAAATAAAGTGAGAGACTATTTAGTTATTTAAAAAAATTTGAGAACCATCCTAATATAGTTTGTATAATTTATCATATATATCATGAAAACATTAAAAATTATATTCTTCATTTCTTTTGAGAAACGGAGAGAATCTTCACTCGTTTCGATCAATCTCAAATATGTTAACAACTGCTGTTATAAAGAATTGTCCATTTTGAGTGTTGAGAATCCATCATGATTTTATCTCTTAAAGTGTTTAATTAGATTGAAATATGTGAATATTATATATAAATTAATTCTCGAATCTCAACCAAACAATGTAAAACTACTTTCAAATTTCAACATGAAATAATTTAATAAAAAAGATGAGTAGGTATTAAATCTAATTTACAAAACATCAGAGAGAATAAAATCTTTGAATATAATGATACGTGTTTCGATCAATCTCAAATATATTGACAACTGTCGTTATAAAGTATTATCTATTTTGAGTGTTGAGAATCTATCATAATTTTGTCTCTTAAAATGTTTAATTAGATTGAAATGTATGAATATTGGTGGACAAGAACTGCTCACCCATCCGAAACTGAAAAATCGAAATTAAAATCACATAAACAGGGGGATTATAATGGTTGACGAGTTCATAAAATGGAAAAATCGATTTCAAACGGATTAATGATGTCTATACATGTGTATTATTTAAGTGATTAATGTTGTATTCAATCTCTTAGAGCATCCACATCCATCATACCCATTTGGGTTCTTTAAATAGGACCCACATAATTTTTTATATTATTTTATACTTCTCAATTTTTTAAACAACCCATCTTCAATTCTCAAATATCCATGTAACTCATCAAAAAATTTAAAATGAGTCCCACATTTAAAACAAATCAACTACATTCTTGCAATTTTATTTATTAATTTATTATCATGACCCACTTAATTGGAGTGTAGAAGCGTGCTTTAGTATGAGGACGTGCTTTAGTTCAGGAACGTGAAAACAAGTGAAATATCCATTTATTATTGACACAATTTCTTTAATAAATGTGTAGGAACTCTCAAAGAACACAGATAATCATACTCTTATTTGCATTTGAAAAACTTCAAATTTATTATACATGTGTATTATTTAAGTGACTAGTGACATATTCAATTTGTTTGACTGCATTTGAGTTTTTTCATCCTGCTATATTTATTTTCAAGTTCAAAAGTAATAGTTACAAAGATAACAAAATTAAACATATAATTCATAAAACAATACCTTTCACTCACTTGTCTCTCACTATGAGTCTCATTCTTTTTTCACTCTTTTTTAGAAAAAATAAAATTGAGATTTTTTTACACATATTTTATCAATATTGATAATCTATTTTCTTTCATTCAATCTGAATAAATTTACCTGAAAATTCGTGATTCGTTTTTGTTGGAAATTCATCAAAATCTATGATGAAATTCTATCAATTTTGATACATAAAATTATTATCACCACACAATAACAATGAAAGAAAAATTCAAGAAGAAAAGAGAACAATGATTTTTCTGTAGAGTTTTTCTCTGTCAACAAACTGTGAACAACTTCTTATTCACTTACAATTGTAATTGCAAATTCTGTGAATACAACTTGATTGATTTGATTACAAAAATAAAAATTACTTCATCTATTTATAGATTTAGGTTAACTTGGTTTCTAAACCAAAATCTAAAACTAAAAAAAATATTCAAAATATCTATTTTGGAACTAAATCAAATCCATCTATTTTACATCTAAGTCAAATTTAAATCTAAATCTAAAACAAATTTATGTGTAACAAACAGTTTTCATACTTCTAAAACAAATTAAATATTTTCGACACTCCCTTATCTCTGTCGAACAAATTACTTCGATACAAAAAATTACTTTCAACAGTTTTAACTATCACCTTACTAGTCTGAATTTGATCGACGGAAGGCTTTGAGTCCGAGCCTGGCCAAACCCGTCCGTTGTCCAATCCTAAATATTATATATAAATTAATTCTCAAATCTCAATCATCATAAAATAATTTATAATTTAATAAAAAAGATGGGTAGGTGTTAAATCTAATTTACAAAACATTTGTGAGGCTAAAATCCTTAAATTGAGAAAATAGTGGGGCAATTACAAAAAAACGTGGGAAGATTTGGACAAAAATACAACAGCCGCAACAAGAGCAAGATAGTGGCCGGAGGGAGGTAGCGTTCGAAAAGCTGAAAACCCTAACGCCGATGCAAGAGTAACGGAATTCCAATTTCTACTTCAACTCCAATCAATCGAGAATCATCATCATCATCATCATCATCATCATCATCATCATCATCATCATCATCATCATCATCATCATCATGACGATTCATTCTGCAGTGATTCAGAAGCTACTGAGCACCAACGCCCACATCGGGCGTCAAGTCGCTACTCACCATTTCAAAGACTACACATACGGTTTCCGCAACCGAATGGCCATTATCGATTCCGATAAGACCTTAATCTGCATGCGTAGCGCTTTCAACTTCATCTCTTCCCTCGCTCGCCAAAACGGACGCTTCATGTTCATCAACACCAACCCTCTCTTCGACGAAATCTTCGAGCTCATGACCAAAAAAGTTGACTGCTATAGTCCCTCTTCCAATTCTCTCTGGCGCACTGGTGGATTCCTAACCAACTGTAACAGCCCTAAGAAGTTTCGATCTCGTAACAAGAAGCTTTGTTTCGGTCCCACGCAGCCTCCCGATTGCATTGTTATTGTTGATACTGAGAGTAAATCTTCTGTTATCGACGAGGCTTATAAACTTCAGATTCCCATTGTGGCTCTCGTCGATTCTGCTATGCCTCTTCATACTTTCAGCCGCATTGCTTATCCTATTCCTGTTAATCCCTCTGTTCAGTTTGTCTATCTGTTTTGTAATTTAATTACCAAAACATTGCTTCTCGAGAAGAACAACTTGCAGCTCTCTAATCCCAAAATTGATCTTAGGTATACTCATTTGCCTTGCCTCATTCACATTACTGTTTGGTTTTATCATTTCTTTTAATGATTCTGTTATTATAATCAACTGTAAAGAGAAGAAGCTATCAGAATTGAAGATAAGAAGCGCAAAAATAAATTGGCTAAGGTTGGCTTCACTGTTATACCCTACGATGATTTAGCACCCTTACCTGAAGGTAAACCATAATTGAGGAACTTTAGTGCCTTCTATTTTCTTTGCATCATTCTTAATAGTAGTGTTGAGTAATTTCACATTGAAAGCAGATATAGAAGAAACTAAGAAACTTTTGGACAAGCTTGTTGTTTTGAAGGTCAATCATGACTCCGGAAGTAACATGGGTTTTGAAAACCCCAAGTAAGCATTCTCCTATTCATATCTACATATGCATCACATGTTTAAGGTCATTTTCACACCCTTGTTTGTTCGTGCTTCCACCATCCATGGATTATTCAAAATGCCACAATTGACGAATTTACACTTATGATATTTATCTGTTTCATGTAGATCTGCAATAGATATTGGTGATGGAAAGACATTTCTTGACTTGATCATTAACCAGATTGAGGTCAGATATTTATACTTGATATAGTAGTTATGGTATTCACACACTTACAATATCATTTTCCTCTGCTAGTCATTGGCTTATTCCTTGGCATGTATTAGCCTGCTACAAATATTAATTGGCTTATTCCAGATTGTGCATATACCTCATATAGTATCTGTAATTCTTATTTTCGGTTAACATATCGTTGCCATTGACTGTTATTTTTGGATTTTGATTACTTTACTGTTGTAATTTTCTGTAGACCCTCAACTCCAAGTATGGATGCCAGGTTCCATTATTTATTTTTAACAAAGATGACACTCACGATAGTACTTTAAAGGTGAAATACCGTGTCAACTTCTTCCATATTTGATTGTATTACTACCTCTACCATTATTGAAGTTTTCAGCTTCATCATCTTCCATAGGTTTTGGAAAAGTATTCGGAATCAAGCATTGATGTGCATACTTTTAAGCAGGTTTGCATTTGTTCCATATTTTTTGAATGAATTGATGTTGATTTGTGATTTCTCATGATCCATGCATCATAATGTATCCAGGGTGAACATCCAGAGTTAACATTATCAGGCGAACATTGCAGCAAAGAGGAAGTGTATGTCTTCTTCCAAACATCCGTCTCTTAACTGAATTTTAGATGTTCAATCATATGCACACTTGTAGAGTAAGGGATCTTAAGTTCAGCTCTAAACGTTGGCTATTACTAGGTCTAGTATTAGGGTTATTTTAAAAATATTGAGATAACTACTACCTTCACATGTCCTAGTTAACAGCAGTAATTTAGATGCACACACCACCATACGTAGACACATCAGAGATGCTTTTGTATATTTTTTTGGGTATTTGTTGAAAGCATAAGGTTCGACATGAACAAATTAAAGCATGTAATAATTTAGCTGCAAATTTCCTTTAATTAGTTGTGATGCTGCTTATTCTCAGATTCACCGCTTCACTGTTGTTATTCCCTCTCACCTAGATTTTCTAGAATGACATTAATGATGGAACAACAACCAAGCCTTGTCTCACTAAGTGGGATCGACTATATGGATCAACTTTCGCCATAATTTCTATCCAGGACCATGCTTCTATCCAAATCGTTATTCTCTAGATCTTTCTTAATAACCTCTCTTATAGTCTTTCTAGGTCTTCCTCTTCTTCCAATTGTTTGGAAGATAACTACTCCCTCCATCTCACAATAGGTGTTCTCTTTGAGATTTTCACACTTCTTAAGATAATGATTAATTGTGTTGATTTCAATGATAAAACGAGTGTTATTTACTAAAATAACCTTATTGATAATACGTAGTGGAGTAGTTACATGAATTAAAATACAATAAATAAAGGTAAGTTAATAGAAAGAAATGATAAATATCACATTGGTATTCTAAAAAGACAAATAATTTGAGACAAATAAAAATAGGAAAGAGGACACCTATTGTGAGACGGAGGGAGTATTATTTAGTGGATTGTTAATAAAATATTCAACTTTATAAAGAAATGAGAGAGTCTTATTATCATAAAATACTACAGAGTACGCAGAGTTTTCCAATTTAATATGAACAAAATATTAACAGTAAATATTTAATGCCTGTAAATTAGGGATGTCGAAATGACAATGCCTAGCTGTCAAAATATGTTTCTAGATATTGAATTATTTTCTCCATGATTTGAAAATTGCTTACATGGTAGATATTCTCATTTGAAAGTAACCCACTAATTACATGTGTATAGGCAAACAGTGGACGATGGTGATATATTCCGTTCACTAATGATAGATGGAACCCTTGATTTATTATTATCACAGGTATGGGCTTTTATGCAGCCGAGCACTCTTCATACATTTCCTTTTTCCCACTCATTTAAAACTTTAAAACTTTAAAACTTGAGCTGTAAGACACTTAATTGCATTATATGACAGTAAAAGCACAAGCTGCAATTGGAACGTACTCAAATATGTACATATTTAGGATTTAGGATGTGCTCATATTTGTTTGTGGATTTCTTACTATCTTTTCATGTATTTTTTTTAGGGAAAGGAGTATATCCTTGTGATGAAGTCCGACAATGTGGCAACAGTTGTTGATCCAAGTATCCTTCATATAATTTTAATCATGAACTATAATATTCTTTGAGGTCACAACTTCATAACTGAGCATTGAGACTCAACATTTTGATTTTTGTCAGCCTTAACTACATTTTGTAGATATATTAAATCATTTGATGACAAATACTATTGATTATTGCATGGAGGTAAACAAAACTATTTTCATCTGTCGTGTAAAACTGCCACTTCATTTTTTAAGGTATCAGAGTTACCAGGTTCATTTTCTTTCCTTTTGCTTTTTTTAGGTGACACCAAGCCATTCATCTAATTTGATCTTAACTCCAATGAATTTTAAGGTGTATTTTCTCTTCATTTACTTTTCCTCCCTCAGTCAGTGTCCTTAACATTTGTTATTGGGCTTGTAACTGTCTGATGCTAAATTAATTGTTCTTTAGTATTTGTGCTAGATTTACCATGTGGCTGTATAAATTCTAAACTGGAAAAGCGTCTTTCTAATAAACAAAGATTTTTGTAGATAAGTCTATTTGATTTTTATTTTTGTCTGTAATTACAAAAAAATGTCTGTTTGTTCTCAGTTTGTTTCCTATTTCCTTAGTTCTGCATAGAAAGCAGTGAAACGACTTATTTTTATTTTTACTGTTTCCTATGCAAATCCTCAAACTGACTCGACATAGCAGTTTTGTAATAAAAATTAAAACATGACATAGAAACAAATCAAAGAGGCTCTTCAAATTTTCATTTACAGTATGAAAATGCTATGGTTAAACACACTTTATGATTGATGTGAGTCCATTGCACTTATTAGTGGTCTAGGTCATGACTCCTGAATCAGGTCCTAGTAAATTCTAGTCAAATACTTATTTCGTGATCAGGAGATTTTGTTGCTACTAGTAAACTTGAACAGAGTGAGTTAACCATTTTAAGTTTTGCAATCTGTCCAGCTTCAGGAGATTGCTCAAAACCAAGATAAACACGTAAGTCTTTTTATTTTTCGCCATAACTCACAAATATTTGTATTATTTTGTTTTAAAAATATGTAATAATTTTAGAAGTTTTATACTAGGTTGCCAACAAGATTTGTGCGAGTATTATAGTGACTCAATTTATCTTTTATATTTTTGTTTATTTTCCCTGATTGGTTGATTTCAGTTGAAGGACAAATTCAAACTCATAGATACAACAAACATGTGAGTCAACTGCTGGTTTTCGTTCAATTTCTTACCTAAGTTTACCAAATGTAGTAGATTTCATGGGTTGTCCTCTGTATAGGTGGGTGAGTTTAAGAGCCATTAAGAGACTAATTGATACTAATAGACTAAAGCCCAAGAAGCCCTCAATTTTGAAGGTACCATTCCCTATTATTAGTTCAGTACTCTACTGTTAACTCTGACAAATGAATTGAAAGGGTTACTGTTCCCAGGGGAGTGACTATGATCAAACTCTTCGGCAAGAAACCAAGGCTGAATCGGCAGTACAGGTATATTCATTATTGTTTATGCTTTTTCCTGGTGTCTTTTTTCTAAAAAGGGTTTTGCTTAGGTATTATAATAAGACGACTGCTTCAAATTTAAGACCATAGTATTAGCGGTTGCATCCCTAAATATCAGACTAGTTAATATATTTTTGTATATCAAATTTAAATTACAATTTCTTAGAGTTAGATTTTTTCTTAATATACTATTCTTGTTGTAAAATAGCGGGGGGCTAGGGACTATACTTTAGGTCCAGGGTACATTGGGAATTAGGAGACTTTTTGGTATTTAGAATCTTATTAGGATTATTTATATTTTGGCTCTGTGTGGCGTTCTTATTTTTTGGTGTTTATGTTGTTTTTTTCTCGCAAAATGCCCCTTGTAATATATTGGTTTTTCATTTTTGTCACCGTTGTTTTGTTTTAGTTTCCATGTTCTTCTTTTTGTTTGTAGAGACTAAAACAATGAGGACCAAAAGAGAAAACATACAAAAAGTATGTAGAAACGACAATATATAAATTATACTTTATATAAACACTCATTTGTAGCATCTTGTAATTTTTTGCAAGCTTAATTGAAATAAACGTTGAGTGATGTCATTAATCACACTGTTCTTTGCATCTTAGGAGAAAAAAACTAGTGAAAATAAACTGTTGATTGGTACTGAAGAAGCTTTTTTCATGTTAGGTATGAAGTTACTAATTGCAGTTATTAATGTATTGTCTCTCTATTTTTGTATCCCAGTTCTTTGATAATGTAATCGGTGTCTCAACACCCGAGTCTCGTTTTCTTCCCTTGGACGCAACCTCGGATTTACTGCTTCTACAGGTAGCAGACCTAATTTCTATGTAAATTTTGTTACTGAAAAATGTACTTACACGACTGATCCCCCTCCATCAATTATGCATCCTTGCAGTCAGATCTATACACTTATAGAGAAGGTGTTTTAACTCGTAATCCCGCTAGAACCAACCCTTTAAATCCTGTGATTGACTTGGGACCGGAATTTGCAAAGGTAAAAAAATTCTGATTCCTCATCTTACCTATTATTAGGTTTTTATACTGGGCATCCCCTTTCTTATGCATTGTATATGCTCCATTCTCAGATTGATGATTTCCAACGTCGGTTCAAATCTATTCCAAGTATCACCGGGTTGGATAGTTTGGTAGTGAGAGGTGATGTGTGGTTTGGATCTAATATTACTTTAAAGGTATGCTAGATATTCCTTTTTCAGTCAATCATCTTGCATATTGAGTAGCTGCTTTGAATTCCCTTTAATTATCTGGAGTGTCTGGGTTACACTTGGTATTTTGTATAAATCTGAGAACTACATGCAGTATTCTGTTTGTCCTTTTTCTTAATATTAGGGAAAGCTTATTTTTTGTTGCACAAGATTGATATTTTGTTCTCTTTTGTACTTCTGAATATCATGGTAGCATGCGTTATCATCCCCCCTCTCTCCCCTCTTTTTCATCCGCGAGTGAGATGCATAGTGTCATAGGAACTTGACATAAGGCGATTGAGTTTTTGATCTTGCTAAGCTTGTAGTGAAAGTTCAATACTACTAAAAGATGGAGAGGAAAATTCTAAAATCGTTAAAAAAATGGATTTTTTTTTTTATGTCAAAAGACTTACAGTTGTAATACAATATTGAAATTGATTTATTGACATAAGTGGGTCCAAACTTGGTATTGACGAGAATAATACTTGTACAGGTGGAAACCGTAGATCTACCTTTTATGTCATGTAGTTTTGTTGATGTGACCAAGTTAGTTATATCGTTTTAATTCAATATTACTTTTAGCATCAATCTTCTGCTATTCTGTATATGCAATCATAGTCTTCTATTCAGATTATCAGAAGAGATGATTTAGCTACCTTTAGGAATTAGGATACAAAGTTATCTCATATGTGGGAAGTTAAAGCAGTTTTGCTTGAAGATATTTCTGATCTTAGTGGCAACTCCCTCTCCCTCAAATGACTAACTGCTTAAGCTTATAATATAGGCTAAGATTTAATTTGTACCCTCATGTAAGAATCCTTTGGGTTTGAAAAAGAAAATCATGGACAACACACAGGCTCAATTTTCCTTGTGCTGAAATTCAGCTCTGTTTTAGTATAAAAGGGGTTGCAATGCCAATGATCAAACTCTTAACGGTTACCTTTCTTAAAATTTGGGTTGGGCTTTACTCAATCCTATGAATCGGTTGGTGGTGAGGGATGTCTCTAACATATAAACACTTTTTCAGGACTTATGACCTCAATATGGGACTCACTCTAAACAACTTTGTCAAATTCCTGAGCTTTATTTAGCATGTTTATGTTTAATGCTTACTGGACCATAAGATATTCTAGATCACGTAACACTCTAAAAGAGATCTAGAATATCTAGAGATAGTTGGAATAAGCATCATGACCTAACAAAATTTAGGATTGTTCCTTCTCTCTGCCAAATTTCCTTCAACTGTTCCACTTACTAAAAAATTGGCAAATTTTCCGCTTGACATGCGGAATCGAAAATTGATATTAGCTCAACCTGAAGTGGAACTCCTGTTATAGCTTGTAAGAATTCAAATTCAATGAAATTCCAGATATTTAACCAGTTTGTGGTGCCAAATTCATGTCATTGTCTGTACATATTATATAATTGTGTTGGCTTAGTTTGTCTTAACTACTGTTTGAAAATTTTATGGGTTCTCAGTGTATTTGCATTACTGACCCTTTATACACACTATCAGGGACAAGTGACTATTGCTGCAAAACCTGGCTCAAAATTGGAAATTCCAGATGGGGTAGTAATTGAGAATAAGGTACAATACAAATTTAAGTATGAACTTTTGAATTTGTTTATTGCCAGACTGTTCCTTTCCATGGTTGTATAGGCTTGTTTCTTAATTTATTGGGTGGTGGTTCTTGGGTTGGATGTGTTGAAAATGCATGTTTCGTTTGAACTGGTTTTCCATGTATATTTGGTTCAAAACATGGGTATTTATGTCATTGGAGTCACAGGGTAGCCCTATTAGTTATATATCCAGACTGCTGATAGAGGATGATAGCATTCAAAATGTATCCATTATCTTTGTTTCTTTTTTTGGGGGGAGAGGCGTTGCTGGATGTGGGGTGTGTGAGTAGATGCTCAGCAACTATTTCCATCTTACTAGAATGTTGGGGTTGGAGTTGTTGCCTACTGAATGATCCCAAGAAACTGAAGATTCAGAAGCATAATCCTTAGTTATGAGATATCTGATGTAGAATTCCAATGATCTCCCAATCATGATTCAAACTCAGACAACTCTTTTTGCCCCCATTCGGTTGGACTCAAGAATTAAACACAATTCTGAATTCATTACTGATAGAATCTTGTTTTAGGTTGGATTTCAATTACAAACACTGGGTTTCCCCTTTGACAAGGAATCACCTCTCCTTCTAAACCGACAGAAAAAACACAACGCCAATAACAGCCACACTATTTTAATAAGCCAAACAATTTTATATAACCAACACAGTTTGCACAAGGGCCAAAAAAAGACCGCAAAATAATTAGCACAGAGGATGAACCCAACTGAAACAACTAACAAAACAAAATATCCACCCGACCCCAAGAGAAACAGAAAGCCACCCAACACTAATTTCCAAACAAATCACCACACCTAAAACTTTCTACGGTGTTTGTGAACCACACTGTAATCATCAGATAAAACGAGTTCAGTATAATCCTTAAGGCTGCGTTTAGTTGTGAAGAGAGAAAGAGATGAGGGAGAGTGTGAGAAGAGAGAAAGAGGTATGAAATATATTAGATTTGATTGTGTTTGGTATAAGAGAAAAAGAAGAGAAACAGAAGAAACAAGCGTCAATTGCATTTAAAACTACAATTATGCCCTTAAATTAGGAAAAGACTCATTTCATGATATTTAATTTTTAATCTGTTCTCAGTTTTTTATTAATTACATGATTAATTATATTAATTTCATGATTAATTATATTAATTGTATTAATTAAAATGATTTGTACCATATGTTTGGTATTAACCATGTTACACAAATAAATATCATCCCGAACAGGAAAGAGCAAATAAAATGTATACAATGACATTTCATAGCCAGAGCAAAGGGACACAAATGGAAAGCAAATAAAATAAACCTTCCCTCCACATTCTTCGCTGATTTGCGAAGAAATAAAAACAAATGGTAGGGCCCGCCTATGTTTGATCTTTCTTCAACATTTTATCAATGATCCAAAGAGAAGTGGTTCTTTTCTCTTTGTTAGAATTAAGTAAACCTGTATGCTAGATTTATTATTAGTATTCCTAGTAACACAATTATAAATACAATTAGTGTAATATGAGTATAGACACAAAAATTTCATAAAACAATATGGTATTAAAGCATGTTTTCGCCCGAGTATTAGCCAATCTTTATTGAGCAACTTCAGCTTCCAAAAAACACTTTAGTGGACCCAAAAAATATTTTAACGTTCCACCGGTCATTACGGGAAGCACTTAGAAATTGGCTAACCACCACATTGACAACAAAAGGAATGTGAACTCACATGGCTTAGACGATTTCTCCAACAACTCAAATTAGGAGATTAGGAGATGTCAGGCAATGAAACTAATCTGTGACAAGACAACTAAGCTGCACTAAACTGATTTTTCATAAAAGAATTAAGCATATAGAGATCAGTTCTCACTTTGTAAGAGGTAAGTTTCTTTTAGGAGAAATCATAACTGATTTTGTTGGTTCAAAGGTTCAATTGGCTGACATATTTACTAAATCCTTTAGAGAGCTTTCTGTCGAATCTATTTGTGACAAGCTTGGCGCATATGTCATGTATGCCCGAGTTTGGGGAGAGGAGGGTTAGAATCAACTAAGCCTTCAGACGTTTTAGATTGATTGATAGTTATTCATAGAGTACACAACTTACTAGATTATTGCTTATTCAATAGGCATTCAATGTATTTATTGTAACAGGCATTTAATGTATTTATTGTAACACCAATAGAAATACAATTAGTGCGATTAAGTATAGACAAATAAAATTATAGAAAACAATAATTTGTAACTCTCGTCCTTAGTTCTCCTAAACCAAATACACTGTAAAACCGTGGTTTCTTCTCTGTATGCACTCATTGGTGGAGTAATCAGATAACACACAACTTCAATTACCCTGCCGGATGATAAGCACAATTGATTCAGTGTATTGCTAACAATAACTAATAGCTGACAATATTAAATAAGTTGATAATGCTTCTATGAAGGAAAGTAATTTTCGATAAAACAGATGCCTCACACACAGTATGCTGACCTGAAGAGCATGGGGACTATTAATGATGCCTCCACATTCTTATTTTTCCAGCATTAATGACTATTTTAGCTTGTGGCATGTGCTACGTCTTGATTGACCATCAAACCTTTTTCTAGATTTTTACTTTTGATAATTTTCTTACGGTCACTCTTTTGCTGATTTACAGGAGATCAACGACCCTGCAGATATCGACGGATGAATCTCATGGAAGTTGATGATATTTGGTTCTAGCAAATATGCGAACTACCAAAGCTTTGCTTTGGTGCAATACAATTTACGTCACATTTGCAGCCCGCCATCAATTAGCTTTTCTTTTTACTCAGGTCCAAACGGCTGCAGAAGCAAATAATTTCTGTCGCATTATTTTTTCAAATCTTGTGGTGGTAATGAAATAATTGACTCCACCCATTTATTTAATCTTGTAGCATTAGCTTTTAGAGCAAGGCTTGATGTCTGAGAAAAAGAATGGAAAATAATTAGTTTTAGTGAAATTTTACACCAATACTAGAGTCCCACCAATTGTTTACGGTACCAAAGAGTTGGAGCCGAACTGGCATTTTTTTTAAAGTTAAATCGAATTCATGCATATTTGTCGTTGGCTAACATAGACTACCACAAATGACTTTTGTTATTTATGTCTTCAAGCAATATCATGTTATGTGAAAGAAGGTTTTCACCTACATTTGTTAGTAATATACGAATAGTTTCTTTCTAAACTCCTAAAGAATAACGAATTGGGATATTAAATTTTAGTTGAGGCATTAGTCTAAATGGAAGACAAGAAATGGAAGATTAGTAGTTATGGGAAATGTTGAGACTCGAGGCTTACTCAACAAAGTAGCCAAAATGAGTTCACCGGTCCTCAATTTTGAATAAGCAAACTGGGCAAATAGATCCCTTTTGTTTATAATAGTTGGTTAAAAAGTGGAATTTTTTTTGCAATAATTAGGTATTAAATTTTTTCCCCGCAAATAACCACGTTTTAGAAAAAATTACGCAAATAATCATGTTTCAGATGACTCCCCAAAGGAGGAGCCATCTCACTTGGCGCCTCCACTTAGAGTTTTGTCTTAGGTGCCATCTCACTTGGCGCCTCCTCTCTCTTTTAGCCAAGTGAGATGGCACATGCATTTTAAAAGTGAGAGGAGGTGCCATCTCACTTGGCTCGTAGGGTAAAATGTTGTTTTTATAAATAATCCGTCCGTTTCTCCGTCATTTCTCACACTTTCTCGCACTGTTTTCTTATTTTTTACTCTGTTATTTGCGTCATGACATCGCCCATGATTTTTATCAGAGATGGTTACGTTATCTTCTCCGCCACGAAACCTGCGATGAAAATGAAATTCTGGCACATTCACTCCATGGAGCGTCTGAAGCGGGAGTTGATGCGATGGCTAGATGGAGACATTGTGGAGGGGGAAAAATTTGAAGGATCCAGCAAAAACGAACAACAACCTCACATGCGACATGAAGACCTAATGTATGGTTGGAGGAAGTCAAAACAGACAGCAACGTAATGTTGATGATGCATGGGTCAGATGAAATTGTTTTAACAGTTGTAATTTCGTAGACGGAATATCGTATTTTTTTTCTTGTACGTGCAATATTTATTGTAGCAAATACTGTTAACGAAAAACCTTAATGTTTACAACATAATTAAGGAAAGATTTTATGTATTACAATTTTTATGTGGTCGAGGCAGACGCTCGATTCAGACAATTTTTGCGATTGTGTCCGACCTGGCGGCATAAACCACACTTTCTTTCCAGCTTGTCAAGTTCGTCCATTTCGGTTGTGATGCGCTTACTTTTGGGACGACCCTTCTTGTTCCTTCGCATTTGGTCATTGTGCCACATTATTTCGCCGTCGTATGCAGGCCAATAATCTGATTTTGCTACCAAAGGAAAGCTGTTGTTGTAAACATTGAGCAACGTTTCAGATTTGTAAATGTGTGACAGAAGTTGTAGCGCGTCTTGATGGGTATAAGCTAAAGCGGCAATGACATGAGAGCAAGACATACGAAAGACTTGAAACTTGCCACAATCGCACCAACGAGAATGTAGTATGACCCTATATTCTTGTCTTGGCAGGCCTTCATTGTGGTCGATTGTTTCTCTCACAATGAAGTTGTGGCTGTGTCGGTCAAACCATATAACCATATGAGTGTTGGCTTTGGCACTTTCTGCCTTAATGTACTTCATGCAGCTTTCACTCCATAGTTGTCCAGATTGCACACCGCATTCCATATTTCACCTCTTTTGGCAAACAACGAAGCCATCCTAAAATACGTAGATTTTACCAATGCAGTGATCGGGAGGTTTCGTATGCCTTTGAATACCCCATTCATCGATTCAATAAGATTCGTTGTCATGTGCCCCCATCTTTGGCCATTATCGTATGACCTAGTCTATTTTTCCACCGGAATATTGTCGATCCACCTACCGGCTTCCGGATTTGACAAACGGATCTCGTTGCGGTAATATTTGAACGTGGGTTGTGTCAATGCATATCCTGCATTCATAACCGCTTTCCTTAGTGTTTTTTCCTTGATCTCCCTCGTGAAATTCTGGACGATATGCCTAACGTAATAGACATGCGTAGAAGGAAGGTCATGCCAACCGTTTGTAGGATTATTGTAGGCACTTTCAATGGAGGCATGTCTGTCAGAGATCAAACAGAGATCTGGTTGAGGAGCCACGTGTGTTTGCAGGTTTTTCAGAAAAAAGCTCCAAGCACCACCGGTCTCCCCCTCGAATAGGGCAAAGGCAATTGGGAAAATGTTGTTGTTGCCATCTTGTGCAACTGCCATCAGTAGCGTGCCTTTGTATTTCCCATACAACCAAGTCCCGTCAATTTGTATAATTGGTTTGCATGATGCAAACCCTGTGATGCAAGGTTGAAATGCCTAAAACACTCGACTGAATATTCCGTTTTCGTTTAGTTGACTACCATCTTGGGCGTATGCTGGCACTGTTTCCAGAACGTAAACAGTACCCGAAGAATAAGTCTTGAGTGCATCAGGTAGCGAGGAAGTTCTTGGTATGACTCCTCCCAGTTTCCGTACACCTTTTCAATCGCCTTAGTCTTTGCTAACCACGCCTTACGGTAAGATGGAGTATAGTTAAAAACCGTGGTGATGTGGGAGATGATGGTTTTCACCTTCAAAGGTCGTTGCTGACCAGTGGTAGGATTTCTTGAAAAATGAGATCGTAATTAAGTTTTTTGGTGGTCCTGTGATTGGGTAGAACTTACACAAGTGTGGGTAGTCATGGAACCCATGACCCAGCAATCACCTCTTAATCTGTATGATGCAGTGAGCTTGAACATACAGTCAGGGTGAACACACTTGATCTTGTACCTTTCTGGGTTGACACGGTCCACCTTAAAATCGACCGAGTTGAGCATGTGGAATTTTTTTATGGATCTGATGCATTCCTCTCTGTTACGAAACTTGTCCTTCTCTTTTAAGTTTTCATCCGACTGCATATACAGATTGAAAAATAAATCAGTAGACGGTTCATCTCCGTCCATGTTGAAGTTTGTCATGTGCGGAGGTGGTGTGTAGATCTCGTTTGCAGGAATACTAGGTATGCCATCATCGTCGGAATCATCATTCACCATTTCATCAAACTCTAACTCGTCATCTTCTTCTTCTTCATCAACTGTATCTACCTCTGCTTGTTCGTTCTCCAAAGGATCAACCACTTGTGTCACCTGAGGCTCTCGCAACATAATGTACAACTCAATAGAGTCGTACCCAGAATACACATGGCTGGAAAACATATTCTGAAGATCCTCGTCATCTTGAACCTCAACCTTATAAAATATTATTTGGTTGTTTAAAAAAAATCTGGATTCTGATAAAATATCTGTGTCACCGGGCCTCGTCCAAGTTTAGCCTCCAATCATTTTTTGAAGTACGAGAAATTGACTTTTCCGTTTAAAAGAAATCGAATGTTGTCTGTGTCTCTAAACAAAAACCCAGAGGTGGGACAAATGTATGTTTCACCGTTGAAATGTGCATTGATGACATATTGGGGTGCAGAGGCCATTGCGTAGGGTTGTTTGAAGGTTTGAAGGTTTGAAGGTTGGAATGTTTGAAGTTTATGAGTTATTCGAAGGTTTATATGTTTGATTGTTTGAAGGTTTGAAGGTTTGAAGGTTGGAAGGTTTGGAGGTTGGAATGTTTTAAGTTTATGAGTTATTCGAAGGTTTGTATGTTTGATTGTTTGAAGGTTTGAAGGTTTGATTGTATGAAGGTTTGAAGGTTGGAAGGTTTGACAGATTAAGTGAAATAAATGTAAGACTAAATAGGTCATACTGAATTTGAATTAAGTAAGGATGTAACCTCCAAGGTTGCCACCTAGCATGCGCCTACTCTGCACCTACACTGTAACATGTAAGTCTCCTCCCATCACCTCCAATAGTGTTACATGTATTCAGGCATGACATCCCCAAGGTTGTCACCTAGCCTGCGCCTACTCTACAACCCATGACACCTCTTATTCGCCAATAGGGATGGCGACACCTTTCATTTTTATACTCTTTCGCCAAGTCCAATGGCGCCTCCCTTAATGTCCAATCGTGTTACATACATGCAGAGATGTAACCTCCAAGGCTGCCACCTAGCCTGCGCTTACTCTGCACCTACACTGTAACATGTAAGTCTCCTCCCATCACCTCTAATAGTGTTACATGCATTCATGCATGGCATCCCCAAGGCTGTCGCCTAGCCTGCGCCTACTCTGCAACCCATGGCACCTCTTATTCGCCAATAGGGATGGCGACACCTTTCATTTTTGTACTCTTTCGCCAAGTCCAATGGCGCCTCCCTTAATATCCAATCGTGTTACATGCATGCAGAGATGTAACCTCCAAGGCTGCCACCTAGCCTGCGCCTACTCTGCACCTACACTGTAACATGTAAGTCTCCTCCCATCACCTCCAATAGTGTTACATGCATTCAGGAATGGCATCCCCAAGGTTGTCACCTAGCCTGCGCCTACTCTATAACCCATGACACCTCTTATTTGTCAATGGGGATGGCGACACCTTTCATTTTTGTACTCTTTCGCCAAATCCAATGGCGCCTCCCTTAATATCCAATCGTGTTACATGCATGCAGAGATGCCTTCTCCAAGGCTGCCACCTAGCTACGCCTACTCTGTAAGAGTGACACTTATCATGCATGCATTCACC